CTTTTGCTGCTTCTCTAGTGATGTCAGCATTCTCTCCTAGACAATCTGTTCAAAATGTGAGCCTCTGCTTACTATTTTGGTTCCTCCCCACAGAAGAGGCACATACTACCTGTGTCTAGTCAGCCATCTTGATCCTCTCCCTCTCAGTATGGCTTTTGTTGTATCCCAAGGGTTCTGGTATGTTGTGTTTCCATTTTCATTTGTTTGAAGAAATTTTTCAATTTCCTTCTTAATTTCTTCATTGAGCCATTGGTCATTCAGAAGCATGTTGTTTACTTTCTATGTATTTCTGCAGTTTCCAAAGTTCCTCTTGTTATTGATTTCTACTTTTATTTCTTTATGGTCAGAAGAGATACTTGATATGATTTCAACTTTTTTGAATTTGTTGAGACATAGGATCTGTCCTGGAGAATGTTCCATGTGCTGATGAAAAGAATGTGTATTCTGCAGCAGTTGGATGAAACGGTCTGTAAATATTTGTTAGGCCAATTTGGTTTAGAGTATAGTTTAACTCCAATGTTTCTTTGTTGATTTTCTGCCTGGATGATCTGTCCATTGCCAAAAGTGGGGTTTTGAAGTCCCCTACTCTTATTGTATTACAGTCTGTCTCTCCCTTTAGATCTATTTATATTTGCTTTATATATTTGGGTGCTCCAGTGTTAGGTACCTATATATTTACCATTGTTATATCTTCATGCTGAATTGACCCTTTTATCATTATATAATGATCTTGTCTCTTTTTATAGTTTTTAGCTTAAAGTCTGTTTTATCTGATATAAGTATAGCTTCTGCTCTTTTTTGGTTTCTGTTTACATGGAGTATCTTTTTCTATTCCTTCACTTTCATTCTGTGTGTCTTTATAGGTGAATTGAGTTTCTTGTGGGCAGCATAGTTGAGTCTTGTTTTTTAATCCATACAGCCGTTGTATGTCTTTTAATTGAAGAATTTAGTCCCTTTATATTCAATGTTGTTAGTGATAAGTAAGGACTTATGCCATTTTGTTACTTGTTTTCTAGTTGTTTTGTAACTCTGCTCTTTCTTCCTTTCTTACTGTCTTCCTTTGTGGTTAAGTATTTTTCTTTGGTAGTATGTTTTAAGTACAGTGTATCTATTATAGGTTTTTGCTTTTTGGTTACCATGAGGCTTACAAAAAACTTCCTAAAATTATAACAAGTTATTTAAAACTGACACCAACTTAACTTTGATCATAAAAAAGGAAAGACAAATGAACCAACAACAAAAATCTGTACACATTAACTTTTTTCTCCCACATTTTGATTTTTTGATGTCACAATTTTCTTCTTTTTATATTGCCTATCTTTTACCAAATTGTTATCGCTATTGTTATTTTTAATAGTTTTGTCTTTAAGTGTTCTTAGTAAAGATTTAAGTGGTTTATACACCAGACTTACTACATTAGTCTGATAATTACATTACAGTCCTTTTCTTTCAGTCTGAAGAACTTCCTTTACCATGTCTTGTAGTAAAGTTCTGGTAGTGATAAATTCCCTCAGCTTTTTTTTGTCTGGGGAAGTCTTTATCTTGACTTCATTTCTGAAGGATACCTTTGCTGGTCACAGTATTCTTGGTTGACAGTATTTTTCCTTCGAGCACTCTGAATATGTCGTTTCACTCCCTCCTGGCCTTTAAGGTTTCTGCTAGAAGTCTGCTTTCAGGTGTATTGGATCTCCCTTATATGTTATTTGCTGATTTTCTCTTGCTGCTTTCAGGATCCTCTCTTTGTCTTTGACCTTTGAGAATTTGATTATAATATGTTATAGGGTATTCTTATTTGGGTTGAATCTGATTGGTGACCTTTGACCCTCCTATATCTCGGTATTTCTACCTTTCTCTAAGTTTGGAAAGTTTTATGTTATTATTTCTTTGATTATGCTTTCTGCCTCTTTGTCTTTCTCAGATCCTTCTTTAACTCCAACAACCTGAATATTTGCTCTTTTGCTGTTGTCCCATGGATCCTATAAGCTTTCTTCATTCCTTTTCATTTTTTTTTTCTTTTTTCTCCTCTGTATTTTCAAATAGTTTGTCTTTAAACTCACTGATTCTTTCTTGTTTAGGCAGTTCTGCTGTTGATGCTTTCTGTTGCCTTTTTCATTTCATTCATTGTATTTTTCAGCTCCAGGATTTCTTTTTGATTTTTTTTTTAAATTATGTCAATCTCTGTTAAATTTCTCTGATATATTTCTGAATTGATTCTCTTTGTTTTATTGATATTCATTGCACTCCCTTAAAACAGCTATTTTGAATTCTTTGAGAGATTATACATCTCCCTCACTTAGGGTTGGTCTTTGGCACCTTATTTGTCTGTTTGGTGAGGTCATATTTCACTGAATGTTCTTGATACTTGTGAAAGTGTGACAATATCTGTGTATTTGAGGGATTAGGTATTTATTTCAGTCTTCACAATCTGGCTTTGTTTATGCCTGTCCTTCTTCACAGGGCCTTCCAGGGATCCTAAGCAGACTAACTATTGTGTTCCCTGAACAGTGGTCACACCACTGGAGGTATCTTAGCACTAAAGGATACTCTAAGCCCAGGCTTGTTGCAAGTCTTGTGAGGACTCTAAGGTTGCTGCAGCTTTCTTGCCCAGATGTACCTGGTGAAGACCCAAGGAGGATACTGGGGCTATGTGAGAATGCTGCGCTGGAGTTGAGAGTGGGCCCCTTCGGGATGTGCTGTGGGATGGAGGCTAGCATGCCTGTCACGTTGGCTCAGACAGGTGCACATCTCCCAGTAGGTCTGCAAGATGAGATAGTTCCCTGATTGCAGCAAGAGGGGCTAGAGCTGAGACTGGGTCCCCTCAGGATCTGCTTTGAGACAGAGGCTAGAGTGCCTGTCTCGTTAGCCCAGACTGGCACATGTGTCCCAGCAGATCTCAGCATAGATAGGATAGTTCCCAATTGCAGTGAGAGGGGCCAGGGGTAAGACTGGGCTCCTTTGGGATTTTCTGTGGGATGAAGGCTGGAGAGCCTGGTCTCATTGGCTCAGAAGGGTGCACATCTCCCAGCAAGTCCTGCAGAGATGGGATAGTTCCCTGATTGAAGTGGAAGGGGCTAGAGATGAGATTGGGTTCCCTTGGGATCTGCCATGGGATAGAAGTTGGTGAGCTTGTCTGGGAGGCTCAGAATCCCAGGCTGCAAGATATGGGCAAGACTTCTTCTGGGTCCTTGTGTAAGAGGCTGTGAGCAGGGACCTAATCTGAGGGGGGCTGAAGCAGAGAAACAGGGCAACTTTTAGGTTCACTGCCAAGACCAGTGTCAGCAGGCAGACAAGCCTTTCCATCAAGGCACTGGTGTGCATGATTCCTTCTGGACCTCTTGGCAGATAGTTTTGTTTGTAGGCTCAAGGCCAAATGGCGCTATAGCCAAGCCCCTTGGAGGGCTGGGCCATTTCTGGGCTTAAAACCAGGAGCAAGCTTGACACATCAGCCACCTGGGTATTGGTCTGCCCCCTCAAAATGATCTTTCAAGGTCTTGGGTTTTACCAGAGTTTCACAAACTCCTATCCATATCCTGAGGCTCCTGCAAAGAGACTTGACTGTGGATGGATGCAGAATTCTTGTTACAGGGGGATATGAGCTGGTTACCTGGTATTCTGCCATCTTCTCTTTGCTTTTTTGTACTGCATTCTGAGAGTCTCTCAGCTCAGTCTTCTATTTATGAATTAGCTCTTCAACTCCAGCACATTTAAGGTCCTTTATTTAATTATCATATTTTAAATTTACAAAATTGTTAATAGCTTTGCTTCCACAAAAATCTGCTTTTGTTTTAGGAATGAAATATCCTTTTTAATTTCTCAGAGGATATTATTTATTCTATTCTGAAGTTTTCTTTTTGTTAAATAAACTCTTGTTTTTCAGATGCTAATTCTTCCTATTTTATATTTCATGAATTTTTTATACTATTAATTTTCCTCAATTAGAAGATTCTTGATTGTTCACTTTTCCATGTAACAATCCATACTCAGAAGATTAAAATGCAGGTTTTAATTTCTGGAGTTGCTTTCTGTGATTGTGGGAAGGGGCAGGATTTACATTCAGGCACAGTGTGCTATAGCCTATCTTCCTAGACGTGCTCTGTTTCTCCAGAGTATCACTGCTTAGCACCCACACTTGCCACCGTGGCCCACCCCCCAGAGAACTCCTACTTTGTGCATTGCACAAACCTTTCCCAAACTCCCTTGCAGACCCTCATAGTAGGAGAAATTATTTATGTCATGTGTTTTTCCATCCCCTACTACAATTTACCTCATTTCATGTGAGCTTTCTCATTATAACGTCATTAACATGTGGAAGGGGTCCCATTAAGTAGGGTAAAGGTAAGTGATGTCTGCACAGGATCCAGTCCCAGCAGATGCTCTGCTTTAGTAGGCTGAATCCAGCTGTTTATTGGCTTATCTCATTCTGATGGTCCCAAGAATGAAACCACTCTGCAGCCTCCTCCTTATGACCGTGCTGCTGGTTGTTCTTGGTATCTCTCCTGAACTCACTGATTTAATACATTGTTTCTACTAATATAACAAATAGTATATTCAAATCCTCTGACAGAATGTCTTTTATCTACATTTCTGTCTTCTAAGACAATTGGTTAGCTTACTGCTCAATACGGACTCCCCAGTGGTTATGAGGCTAGAAAGCACTTGCATGTTGCCAAGTTAGAAAGGCCAATGTGGCAGAAATATAATGAGTGAGGGAGAAGGTAGCATGAGGTGAGATTGGAGAAGTAGACAGGGGCCTAATCATGCAGGGCTTCAGAGGCTTGGCTAAGAAGTTTGGATGTTATCCTAAGTGCAAAGGGACCTATTACCTGATGGTTGTCACAGCCAGTGCCTCTTCCTAGTTAGCATTGGAGCTGAGGACCAATGAGGACCCCCTCTAGGAGGAATCCTGCTACACACAAGTGGATGGAAGACCCAGACCCTGGCCTCTCTGGGGGTCAGTCAGTGCTCTCACCAACCTTCATTCTGTTTCTATTTTGTTTCAGAGGTTGTGTTTTCATCTTACCCTGGATTTTCAACCTCAGAGGTAGGAATCGACTACTTTATATTTGTGTTCTTGGGTTAGAATATTAATTTTAATAGACAAAACAGACAAGTTAATGGAGCCATGAGAGGCATTTCTATAGATCACACTGAGGAAGCCCAATCATTGAATAGATATTTACCAGGTACCTACGGGGTGTCAAGTATTGTGCTAGCCACTGGAGATGTAGTAGTGAAGTAGACAGACATGCCCTTGACCTCATCAGCCCACAGTCTAGCTCTCATTGTCCTTACATGCTATTCAGCATAATGTAATAACGGTGGCTGCCTCAAGTGATAAAACTGGCATTGAAGTGGGGCTGCCACTAGGACGAAGCCCAGCAGCTTCTTAACAAGAGTCCCCAAAAGCTGAAAAGGTCTTTACCAGATAGACCATCATCCAGGGTCTAATCCTTGGTGTCACTTAGACACTTGATTTTTGTCAGCACAGAAAATTGGTTTTTCTCTGAGAGCAGATGCTCACTAACCAAGCTCATGGAGACTGATGCACATAAACTAAATATTGATTAATTCATTTACAGTAAGTAGTGCAATTGTACATTTAACCGACCTGTATCCTTGAGAGGCAGCTTAGTACACTACCGTCCCACACATACAACTGTGTGAGAAATTGTATCAGTTAACTGTTGCTGCATACCATCCCAACCAAACCAACCCAACAATTATTGACTTCAAACAATAGCAATTTATAATTTCTCATAATTCTTTGAGTTGCCTAGGTGGTTCTACTGGTTTCACCAGAGCTCACTCATGCAGCTGCATTCAACTGGCAGATTAGCTGGGGGCTGGGCTCAGGTGGACAGCTGGCATGGCTTGGTATCTCTATGTGGTCTTTTCAGTCTGGACTTCATTACAATATGGTGGCATCAGAGTTTCAAGAGAGCAAGGGCAAATTGCAAGGTTTTTAAATTCAAATAGTATCACTCATACCACATTCTATTGGTCAAAGCAGAGTCAAAACACCAGTATAATGCAGCAGTGCATGCTGACTACCCAGAGTTAGTGCAGATCCCACAAGTTAAGCACAGACCCACAAGTCAGAGCAGTTCCCAATAAGACTGCCCTCACTTCAGAGGCCAGCCACAAGTTTGGGGGCCCCCAGGCTATCTGCGCTTGTGACCAACTGGCTATAAATTCACGAGTTTTCCACAACCCACTCAGGTTTAGCAATTTAATAGAACAACTCACAGAACTCAGGAAAGGGTTATTAAAATTACAGTTTTAATATAAATGATACAAATCAGGAATAGCCAAATGGAAGATATATATGGTGAGATCTGAGAGGGTCTCAAATGCAGATTCTGTGTCCTCTTCCTGTGGAATTAGAGCATGTCACCCTCCCAGCACATTGATGTGCTCACCAACCAGAATGCTCACCCAAGCCTCAGAGTCCAGAGCTTTTCCTAGAAAATCACTGGCCATTGTGACTCAACTCAATCTGTACCCTCCCCTGCTTCCCAGAAGTCAGGCTGGCTCAAAGCTCCAACCCTCTAATCCCATGGTGGTTCTTTCTACTGTGGCCAGGCCCCATCCTGAGTCATCCCATTAGAATAAACTCAGGTGTGACCCAAGGGTCCTGTATAACAAAGACATTCCTATTAATCAGGAAATTCCAAGGGTTTTAGAAGCTCAGTGCTGGGAACCTGGAAGAAGACCAGACAAATTCTTTATTATATAATACAATGGTCAGTCTAGTTTCAAGAGGGTAGAGATATGGTCTCCACCTCTGAATGGGAGGAGCAGCAAGGTCACAGTGCAGAAGGGCATGCATATGGGATGGAGGGGCTTATGGCCATTAAACAGTCTACCACAGAAGTGACAGATAATCGTAGGATTGCTCAGTGCTCAGATCCCAACTCTCCGGCATTTGAGAATCTAGAGAGTGAGTTGGATAGTTGAGATTTTTAATGGCCCCTCTCTATAAAAATCAGATGCACTCTCCCCTAAGACAGGGCCCTCTCTGCCCCCAGCAGGGCTAGTCATACCCTTGGGTCAGCACACTCCGAAGTCCAACTCTCTGGCATTTTCTTTTCTGTGTTCCAGTCTGACTTGCCCCCTTTGGCTCACACACCCTTGCTCCAAGTAGGGAGTTGCACAGTAGAGGAGACTGCCTTATCAGGCTGCCACCACATTCCACCCAGGCCTCTCAGAGATTGTCTTGGGATCACCTGGAGAAAGGAGTTATCTAAGTTCCCAAACATGATAACTGGTTTTTGTTTTCTCACCCGTAACTTACCTGTTCCACTTGTGTGGCTTTACATGTTGACCCAGAATGGCATTAAATACTTGGCCTAAAGTGGGTGCTTCACAAATACTCATTGAATGAACAAGTGAAATTTAAGTGATTTGCTCAATATTGCATAGTGATTAATGGAGAACAGAATCTAATTCATCTGTACCTAATCATTAGCCCAGCATCTACCCTTGTAATATCCTTTGGTTCCATCTAATTCAAGGAAACAGTGAGTAAACTGAGTTAGGTATGATTAATCCAGCAATTTCCTTTTTTTGCTTGATCAGACATGTTGAACTTGAGTCAGTCTGAGTTGTTGGAGAGACTATGACCTTACAAGTGACCCAGATGCACCATGCCACATTCAGGTCCCAAGACCAGTGGAAATCACTCGAGACCTAGCTGCTGTCTCATCCTCAAATGAAGAACTTCCACTGTAGGATGTGGGCTACCCCATCAGACCAGATGTTCAAGGCTCAAGTCACTCCTGCTTTCCCTCTCCCCACTAGGAAAAGTCCCTTTACAACACAAGCACCTGCCTCTTTGCCTTCTGGAGAAATTTAGCCCAGCTGGGAAAAAGGGCCAATTGAGGATAAGCTGCTGTAGGACAGAGGAAGGGAGGTGGCCACAAAGTACCTCTGATGTCTGCACCAGCGCTATGTTACCTGTGGCTTGAAACTGGAACTCTGGGTACTGGAGAATTAATCTACCATGTGACCTCAGAGAACTTGGAGCCAGAATTCTAGGTTGATGGTGACATCTCCCCTTATGACCCAAATGTCTCTTTTGGCCAAGTCTCTCTGGGAAGGTCATTCTTCCCCCACACTACATAGGAAGGGTCTGTTGGCCCTTGGCAGCCTCAATTTCTTTATTATCAGTTAGGGCACTTTGACTTTGACTTTTTTTTTCCTTCTAAGACAACCAAAGTATGTACACTTCCTCCCATATTTGAGATTCTTCCTGTGAAGTCACTGAAGGTCAGGAACCAGACACTGGCCCCACCCTTCCCGGAGCTGAGGTACCTTAGCCTGGCCTACAACAAGGTGACTTTCTGCTTCTCTTCTGTTTTCTCAGGGGCACAGATGGGAGGGTGGGATGTGAGCTGCTCTGGCCTACAGGCCAACCCTCCAATTCCCTTCATTACAGGCATAGGGGCTTAGGAATTCTCAGGGTGGGGAAAGTGAAGGGAGTTCAGGCCAAGGCAGGAATCCATCCATTCAGTCACAGATATTTATTTAGCACTTACCACGTGCCAGGCTCTGTACTAGGCATTGGGTATACAGCTATGGAAGGAAAGACTCAGGCTCTGCCTTTCTGGAGCTTGTCACCTAGGAAGACTGATACTGGACAACTCATCGCAGTATAAGCATGGTTAGCGTTATGAAGAAGTCCACAGTGCTATGAAGCATGTTATGGTGGGGAGGGAGCTAACCTCTATTTAGGATCAGGGAAAGTTCTCAAGGAAGTAGTGTTTAAGCTGAGATCTGACCCAGTGAGTTTCAGGTGAAGAGGGAGTGTCCAGTGAGGTGAGAAATGTTTTAGCCTAAGGGAACCGCAAATGTAAAGTCCATGGGACAGATTTAACATATTTTTCTTCTATGTTTCCAATATCCATGCCTGTTTGATTTTCTGTAAAACTCCACTAATTGAGCCCTACTTAAGTCTGAAATGCAAGAATCTTTTAAGATACTCTGCTTACATTCCTTCTAAGGCAAGCAGTTGGTACAGCTAAATCCTAAAGTGTTTATTTCTAAGAGTTGTATAATTTTAGCTGTACACTTAGGTCTTTGTTCTTTTTTGAGTTAATCTTTATATATGGTGTGAAATAGGCATCACCTTCATTCTTTTGCATGTGGATATCCAGTGTTCTCAACTTCATTTAGCGAAGACTGTTCTTTCCCCCACTGAATGATCTTTAAGCCCTTGCCGAAAATCAGTGGGCCATAGATGTGTTATGGGTCCCTCTTCTTGAAATTGGTAATTTGTGTCTTCTCTTATTTTAGTGATCCATAATAGTTAGATGTTATCCTTTTTATTGACTTTTTAAAATTAAATTAGCTTCTGGTTTCACTGGATTTCTTTATTATTTGTTTTCCATTTCATTGATTTCTGCTCATAATTTTATTTGTTCTTCTACTTACAACAAATGTAATTTGCTCCTTTTCTAACTCCCTAAGTAGTATAATTTTAGATCATTGATTTAGATCTTCCTTATTTCTAGTATAAACATGTATAGCTATAAATTTCTTCTCTAAGCACTGCTTTAACTGTGTTCTACAAATTTTGATATATCATGTGTTTTTTTCATTCAATTAAAGTATTTTAATTTTTCTTGTGATTTCTTCTTTTACCCATGGGTTGTTTAGATGTGAGGTGTTCAATTTCCAAATATGGAGCTCTTCTAAATGTCTTGTATTTGTTTATTTCTAATTGAATACTATTGTGGGCAGATAATAATCTGTAAGATTTCATTCTTCTGAAATCTGTTTAAACTTTTTTTATGTTCCACCCTATGGTCTATCTAAGTGACATTCCATGTACACTTAGGAAGAAATGTATTCTGAAGTTTTGGGAGATAGTGTTCTATAAATATTGATTAAGTTAAGGTGGTTGGTAGTGTTGCTCAGATCTTCTCTGTACTTTCGTCTGTTTGTTCCATCAATTACTGAGAGTAGTGTGTTACAATCTCTAGATGTGGTTGTGGATTTATTTCTCCCTTTAGTTATGTCAGTTTTTGCTCCATGTATTTGAAGTCTGCTATCTAGTGTATATACATTTAGAATTGTTATATCTATCTAATGTATGGATACTTTTATTGTTATGAATTGTCTCCCTTTTCCTCTAATAATACTCCTTGTCTTGATGTCTATCTTGTCTGATTTTAATATAATTGCATAGCTTTCTCATGGTTACTATTTGTGTGGTATATCTCTCCCTATCCTTTTACTTGCAATCTATATATATTTTTATAGTTAAAGGGCATGTCTTTTAGACAGCATGTAGTTGGTTCTTGCAAATGTTCCAGAATATTTTACTCAGTGTTCCTGCTCTATCCTCAGCTTTAAGCCTTTCCTGTGTGCCTGCACCTCAGAGGGGTTTATTTTACACTCTTTTCCTCCGACTCAGCAGTAAACTGCTTTTGCTTATTACTTAGTGTTTGCTAGTCTGGTTGTAGGGACCAAAGGGAGGCTCCAGCCCATCTTAGGCAGCCCTGGGTCTCTGTGTCTCAAGGATGGCCTTTCTCAGTATTCCTATCTCTGTCCTACCAGTAGGAGACCTCTAATGTACTGGGCCCAGGTTGGTTTCCTGCCCCTACTCCCTGAGTAGTGGGTTTTTATTATTTCTCTCCCCCAGATGCAGTGCCCTGGGCTGACAGGGTTTGCTGAACTTCCTCAGCAGCTGAAGGCTTTTGTTCAGTAGGCAGAAGGGTTGGCAAGGCTTCCTGCCTTTCCTGCAGTGGCAGCTGCTCTCCTACAGGCCCACACCACAAAGGAAGGCTGTCTCCAATCTCTCTCCTGCCTCCAATCTTTCCCACACAATTGGGTGTGAACTCCTCGGGTGTCTGCAGCTCTCAGGGGTTCTACTCTCTTACTCTGGGCCAAGCTTGGTCTTCAGCAAGTCATTAAAATGTTTAGCCAATTTCTTAACATGGTAACTGCCATGTGAGTTATATTTAACTCATGCTAGTTTTGAGCCCAGGGCCTTGTGAAGCAAAAACTGGGCAAAACTCTGCAGTTTGCTCATGAAAATCTTGTTGATGTTCTTTATTGTTACAATTAATATTGATAAATTCTAAAAATGTGGATTAAATGAATAGAAGTCAATAAATTTCATTTTTCATTAAATTAGAAAGGATAGTTTTATTTTCTAAGTTTTTATTCTATTTTCATAATAAAACATCATGGCCTGGTAAAAAAAATTTTTTTCTAGTGTGGCAGTCAATGTGTTAAATGCTTGTTTGGCACTTGCGTTCTGCCATAGGTGAGCCGGCGTCCGTGTCCCATCTCTCCTTGGAGGTGCGAGTCTTTCCTTAGATTTCAGGCCATGTGATTGCCCTGAGATTTTAGCTCTCTGCTAGACTCAAGAAAAGTTATGATTTTATAGGTTACTCAGCTATTTTTTTCTTCTTATAAAGTTTGGAGCAGTACTCTTTCCATTTTTCTACATTTGTATTTGAGTTTTTAAATGGTGTTTTTCTTTATGATAGTTACCATCTAACAAATTATATATCTTTTTGTCAATTATCAGTTGTCTACTACTGTAATTTTTTTTTAACACTAGGACTTTGGTTTTGCTTACATCTATATTCTTATCATCTGGAACATTACATGATACATGACATATGCTCAGTAAGTTTGTGAGATGAATATTTTGATCATGTTAAGGAACACCTACCTGTGTTGAAATTAATACTCAATTTATTAAAGTTACAAACTTTAAAATCAATCCTGCCTTCAAATAAAACTTGTACATCTAGAATATTTACTCAAAATCTAGAAGTTTTTTGTGTCAAAAGTAATCACGTTCATTTAATCTTTAATATTTACTTAGTTCATAAATTTGAGACTGTTATATGCTCCTTAATCCAATGAGATTGAATAGAAATTTAAAGTTGTCATTGGAACCCAAATGTATTTCCAGAAACATTTAACTCACCCTGTAGGGAATAGGCTAGGCTGATGGCCAGATTCTACTTGGTACATCAGCCAGAATCTTAAACCCTTATCTTTCAGCTAGAGCTTAATTTCACAGAAAATATGACATGCATGCCCTAAGTATCATTCAACTTTTTATCAATTTTAATTGTAACCTTCTACTTTGGATGGATGGAATTTTGCATCCTAACAAAATTAAATTCTGCATCCCCTATTATGTATTTGTTGCCTCTTGACCCCCTGATTTGCACACAAGAGATTCTGCACCCACTTTAACCACCATTATAGTCATTTATCAACACATCTTAGGCACCTTTGTAGGTTTATCCTCCTTCTCTGGAGTCTAGACAAAAGGTCAGCAAACTTTTTTTGTAAAGGGCAAGATAATAAATATTTTACTGTGTTGCAACTACTCAACTCTGCACTTGTAGGACAAAAGGCAACATGTAAATGAATGAGAAAGGCAGTGTTCTAATAAAACTTTATTAAACAGATGGTAGGCCAAATTTGGCCCAGGCCGTGTTTGCCAACCCTGGTTTTGGTACAGCCTGTGTGCTAAAAGTGATTTTTACATTTTTAAATGGTTAAAAAAATAAAAACAAGGATAATATTCCATGACACATAAAAATTATATGAAATTCAGATTTTGGAGTCCATAAATAAAATTTTACTGGAAAAGAGCCACCATATCTATTTGTTTCTGAATTGTCTATGGCTGCTTTTGTGCAGTAACAGTAAAGTTGAGTTGTTGCAGCAGGGACCATATAGTCTGCAAAGCCTAAAACAATATCTGGCCTTGACAGAAAAGGTTTGCTGATCCCTGGTCTAGGTCCAATGTTATAATCCCTCAAGGCCCACTGCTAGTCCCTTTTCTCCTCTCACTGTCCACTCTCTTCCTACGGATGACTTCAGATACCCATTGGCCCATGAACAGTGAGTCACAAATTTGTAACTTCAATGTGGACCTCTCCTCTGTATTCCAGACCAGTGTATCCAACTGCCTATTTGACATCTCTACTTGGAGGTCTGAAAGGTACCTCCAGCTTGCATATATCCAAAGTGAATTAATGATATTTTTCTCTTCAAATTTTGTTCTTTCATTGTTCTCTATCTTAGCGAATAGCTCCCATCATCCATCCAGTTACTCAAGCCAAAATTGGTTGTCATTCTTGATACTTCTCTCTCCTTTACATCACCTTACCCCCCCCAGTCTGCCCATATCTGATCCATCACCAAGTCTTGTCAAATTCATGTGCTCATATTTCTAAAATCCATCTAATGCGTGGATTAGATGGATTTCTAAAATCCATCTAATCCTCAAGGACCAAAATTTTTAACTACCTTTGGTCTGGCCCCTCTTGCATCTCCAGCCTCATTTTGCACCACGTGCTCTCTCTCTCCGCTTTTAGTCACACTTGCCTTCTTTAAATTCCTCCAGCAGGCTATGAGGCCTTTCACACATTGTTCTCTTTGCATAGAATACTTCCTGTCTGCAGTGAGGCATTACTGGCTGCTGCAACAACCTTAAACATCTCAATCACTTATACACAATAAAAGTTTATTTCTTGCTTTTGCAAAGTCCATTGTGAATATTCCTGGTTTGCAGGTGGCCTTCCATATGATCATTCAGAGACCCAAGTCCCCTCTGGCTATGGCTCTGTCATCTCGTAGAGTCTTAAGAGTACTTTATTGGACCCTGTATACCTGGTGGGTATAGATGGTTGAGCAGGGGGAGTGTGATAGAGGGAGGCAAGTAGAGGGAGGTACAGGAGATTTTGTATAGGCTGTACCTGGAAGTAGCATTTATCACTTCCATCCATGTTGCATTGGCTAGAACTGAGTCATATGACCATACCTAACTGCCTGGGAGGCTAGCAGATATAATCTAGCATGTGCTAAAGGTAAAGAAAATGGTTTGGGTTAATATAGAGTTGTCTGTGCCACATACTTCATCCCCCCACTGCATTCACTAAATACTTCTTACCCCTCCTTTAGATCTCAGGGACACCTTCTCTCACCTCTCTGACTAGGTCAGATCACCCTAGTAATTCATACACCTCTTTTTTGTGGCACTTAACACATTGTAAATCTCCTCTCTTTTGTGTTACTATTTCTTCAGTGCTTTTCCCACTAGACAGTACTCCTAGAGGGCAGGAATGGTAACTCTTTTGCTCATTCTCAACAAAGTGCTTGTCACATGGTAGGTATTCAGTAAATATTTGTTGGTTAAATGAATAAAAATGAAAGAGAAGTTAGTTGCTTAGTGGAAATCCCATGCTACCCAGTGAGACTCCAGAGGAAGTCAAACTGAAGTGCCCTCCCTCTTCCAGCCCTTGGACCTTAGTGCCTTCTATGGGTCCTACATCTGACCCACCGTCTTTCAGTGTGTCCAAGGGTCTGATACGCTGCTGCCCTACTTCTGGCCCCTCTGATACTGATGGCTCTGATACTGTTACATTGCTAATAGATTCCCACCCCAAGATAGTCCCTAGATGTTTCAGGCACTCTGCTCAACAAGGGTTGTATCAATATATTTTTTGCCTTTCAGAGGCTGGCTTGGCCAGTAAGGCACCACTTGCAGGCTGGCTTCACAGGGCAGCCTCTGGGTTCCAGATAGCTATGAAGCCTCCCTTACCACTGGCTCTGCTTATCCCTTAGTTTTGTGGGTCCCCTTGACCTCTTGTCTCCTAGTCCTCCCCAGATCAGTGCCCAGGACTGGCCTCAGTGAATGAGGCCATCAGGAGTGCTGTTGACAGACTGATGGGGTGTGTAGGGTTTGCATCGGGGAAGGTGAAGTGTTAGAAAAATTGTATCCTAAAGTCAAAGTCAGTGCTCTTCCAACCTTCCAGACTCTTTGGGGGACAAGTGCTTTGTGTGTTTAAGCTACATATCCAGGGTGGAAAGGGGAGAAAAATTCTTAACTCTTAACATGAAACAGTGATGGTGGAATTTCACACTTGAGGGGCAAGGTATTCTGGGCATTACCAGGTGATATTGCAGGGATAAGGTATTGCCCAGCAGTGAGTCCCATCCACAGCAGCATCTCTTCCCCCTCCACCCCCAATCTTAGCAAGCATGTAACCCTGCTGTATGGGGCCTAGACATACCTGGGCAGAGGTAGGGGGTAGTGTCAACCTGATGCTCTCTCCTGCATTTGTTACAGATTACAAAGGAGGATGCTGTCCTGCCAGTAGCTCTCTTCCCATCTCTCTGTGAGCTCATCTTTCATAACAACCCTCTGGTGGCCCATACACGAGGTATGGTACCCACAAACCTGCCCCTGCTAAGCCAGTGTCCAAGGAGCAATGTGAGCACCCTCATTCCCACTGGGAAGGCCTGGACTGTGCTCTGTGTCAGGATGGACAAGGTTCATGGTACACTGGGGAATGGAGAAAATAGCAGGCAGTGCTCAGCACCTGCTCTGCACCAGCTCATCCTGAGAGTAACCCTATGAGGCAGGCATTATTGTCCCCATGGACAGTGGTGGAAACTGAAGCCCCGGGAGGTTCACAGTCTGCCCAAGGTCACACAGCAAGAAAGAGGCAGAGTTGGGAATGGAATACCAAATTATCTAGATCCTGTGTGAACTCTTTAAACTATACTCTGCTTTGTGGAACAGGTCTGTTGTGACTTTGTTTCCCACTTTCTGGATGGAGAGGAGCGCAGGTCCAAATGCAGGGCCCTCTCCTCCCAGAGCACGCTGAATGCAGCGATGCTGTCAGTAGTAGAGCCTACTCTCCAAGATACAGCAGCTGGAGGAATTTTAGAGTCCTAGGCCCTGAAGTGACACCAGTGATGTTCTAATCCTTGCTCTACACTATCTTTGTTACCTTGGGCAAATTCCTTAACCTCTCTGTGCCTCAGTTTCCTTGCCTATCAAATGGGAATAATACAGTTCCTGTCTCCTAGGAGCAATTTGAACAGTGCCTGGCACATAGTAAGCCCCAGTATAAGTGTCAGCTATTAGTAATCTTATTTTCCAATCATGGCACCAGGGGTCCCTCCACTGCTGAAGAGCTTCCTCCAGGAGAGACTGGGGATCCGCTTAATTCGAAGGAAGATAGTAAAGGCTAAGCATCATATTTTGATACCTCGGAAGGAATCGCGGAAGGTAAGGCTTCCAAGGCAGGACTCCCACTCTCGGAGCCTATTCTGATGCATGCAAACTAACCTGGTGATAGAGCTGCTCTCTTCCACACTGTCTGGAATCTCTCCATTAGGTTCAGTATTGCCTTCTCCTTTTCTTGCTGTGTTAAATATAGATATAATTAGATGGGGCAAGAAAATCAAAGTTAGAGTAGGGAGCAGGCTTGGAGGTCACTGAGTCTCACCTCCTAATTTTATAGAGAAACTAAAGCCCAGAGAAGGAGCTATGGAGAAGTGGGGAGGAATCAGCCTTGAAGTCAGAAGACACAGGAATGATCCCGGTTCCATCACTTTCCATAGCTGCCTGACCTTGAGCAAGAGTTTCTCTTTCTGAGCTTTACTTTTCTCAACTCTAAAACCTCTCAGAGCTGCTCAGAGCACTGACTGAAAGAACAGATATGAAAATACATTATAGGCCGGGCGCGGTGGCTCACGCCTGTAATCCTAGCACTCTGGGAGGCCGAGGCGGGTGGATTGTTTGAGCTCAGGAGTT